CACAAGGCCAAAAGAGCACTCAAACGACAAGCTACAGCTACGAAATTGCCAGGGCTTGCTCGGGGTGGTGTCTGCATGCGGAATCTGAGGTTGTTTGGTGAAAATCTGCTGAAAAAATGCCACATTTGAGACCACATGGCAAGAAAGGCAGGAAGACTGCCCACACGGCCCAAACAAACCCTTAAAGGGTTCCGACCAGCATGACTTTGACGTGTATGGTTTGGGCTAGAACCGGGATGCACTAAAAAAAGTTGTGTGCGCCTCGGACAAACGTAAGCCGAACAGCAGCCAAAAAGGGGGCCAAATCTAGTTCAGGCTCCATTTCGGGCCTTTAGCTCTTACATGTAGGGATTTTTCGACCCACCTTCCATCGTCCAATTAAGACGAAACGTGGTGAGCACTTACAACTTATCAGTAGCGACTCTTACCAATATTTCCAGATTTTTATCTTGTTCAGGGGCTGATATATTACCTGAAAAATGCCTAAAAATTCATTTTGGCCTACATTTCTGTCTTTTAAATGAGTCCAAAATGAAAAAGGCCTAAAATGTTTTGTGACCTTTAACCTTTCTGTATGGCCTAGCAGCCTATAAAATGGGGGGGTCGGACCAGAGGGTCACCTGAAGCTACAGTAAAAATTTCAAGGTTAATCAGAAGCCGAGTTTCAGCGGCTGAATATTAAAGGTACACTTTAATGAGGTTCACCTTTGTCCTAGTTACAAAGCAAACAAGCAGGGGAAAGGGATGCTTAACCCTTCAATTTGGCCTAAGTTTCAGTCTTTTCAAGCAGCTCAATGGCACGCATGGCACCAAAATTATGCCACCTCCTAACAGTGAAAAGTGTGGGTTTTGGGGGGCTATATCTTGGAAACCACAAAAGACTTTGGCATGCACCACCTCAGGTGGACTCGTCCCAGGCCCCAGATCAACATACTAAAAGATTGGGTCACTGGCACAAGCAGAATTTTTTTTCTACTTTGGACCAACTGAATCATCAGGTCTTTTTTGGAGCTATGTGTCCAAGACCCTATTTTGTGGCTGAAATCAGACATAGGATTTTTTTTTCTGGGGGGTTTCTGGGAATTTGACACTGAATTCTGATTGTGCTGCCCCATGGGGACATACCATCTGAAAATGGGGCCAATTGGCCGTTCCGTTGAGGAGTAATCGCTATAAAAGTGAATGACCCCAGTCACCTGCCTGTCGAGTGCCCACAAGGCGAAAAGAGCACTCAAACGACGAGCTACAGCTACGAAATTGCCAGGGCTTGTTCGGGGTGGTGCCTGCATGCGGAATCTGAGTTTGTTTGGTGAAAATCTGCTGAAAAACTGCCACATTTGAGACCACATGGCAAGAAAGGCGGGAAGACTGCCCACACGGCCCAAACAAACCCTTAAAGGGTTCCGACCAGCATGACTTTGACGTGTATGGTTTGGGCTAGAACCGAGATGCACTAAAAAAAGTTGTGTGCGCCTCGGACAAACGTAAGCCGAACAGCAGCCAAAAAGGGGGTCAAATCTAGTTCAGGCTCCATTTCGGGCCTTTAGCGCTTGCATGTAGGGATTTTTCGACCCACCTTCCATCGTCCAATTAAGACGAAACGTGGTGAGCACTTACAACTTATCAGTAGTGACTCTCACCAATATTTCCAGATATTTATCTTGTTCAGGGGCTGATATATTACCTGAAAAATGCCTAAAAATTAATTTTGGCCTACGTTTCTGTCTTTTAAATGAGCCCAAAATGAAAAAGGCCTAAAATGTTTTGTGACCTTTAACCTTTCTGTATGGCCTATCAGCCTATAAAATGGGGGGGTCGGACCAGAGGGTCACCTGAAGCTACAGTAAAAATTTCAAGGTTAGTCAGAAGCCGAGTTTCAGCGGCTGAATATTAAAGGTACACCTTAATGAGGTTCACCTTTGTCCTAGTTACAAAGCAAACAAGCAGGGGAAAGGGACGCTTAACCCTTCAATTCGGCCTAAGTTTCAGTCTTTTCAAGCAGCTCAATGGCATGCATGGCGCCAAAATTATGCCACCTCCTAACAGTGAAAAGTGTGGGTTTTGGGGGGCTATATCTTGGAAACCACAAAAGACTTTGGCATGCACCACCTCAGGTGGACTCGTCCCAGGCCCCAGATCAACATACTGAAAGATGGGGTCACTGGCACAAGCAGAAATTTTTTTCTACTTTGGACCAACTGAATCATCAGGTCTTTTTTGGAGCTATGTGTCCAAGAACCTATTTTGTGGCTGAAATCAGACATAGGATTTTTTTCTGGGGGGTTTCTGGGAATTTGACACTGAATTCTGATTGTGCTGCCCCATGAGGAAATACCCTCTGAAAATGGGGCCAATTGGCCGTTCCGTTGAGGAGTAATCACAATTAAAGAGAATGACCCCAGTCACCTGCCGGTCGAGTGCCCACAAGGCCAAATGAGCACTTAAACGATGAGCTACGGCTAAAAAATTGCCAGGGCTTGCTCGGGGTGGTGCCTGCATGCGGAATCGGTGTTTGTTTGGTGAAAATCGGCTGAAAAAATGCCACATTTGAGACCACATGGCAAGAAAGGCGGGAAAACTGCCCACATGGTCCAAACTGACCCTCAAAGGGTTCCGACCAGCATGACTTTGACGTGTATGGTTTGGGCCAGAACCGGGATGCACCAAAAAAAGTTGTGTGCGCCTCGGACAAACGTAAGCCGAACAGCAGCCAAAAAAGGGGTCAAATCTAGTTCCGGCTCCATTTCGGGCCTTTAGCTCTTGCATGTAGGGATTTTTCGACCCACCTTCCATCGTCCAATTAAGACGAAACGTGGTGAGCACTTACAACTTATCAGTAGCGACTCTTACCAATATTTCCAGATTTTTATCTTGTTCAGGGGCTGATATATTACCTGAAAAATGCCTAAAAATTCATTTTGGCCTACGTTTCTGTCTTTTAAATGAGCCCAAAATGAAAAAGGCCTAAAATGTTTTGTGACCTTTAACCTTTCTGTATGGCCTAGCAGCCTATAAAATGGGGGGGGGTCGGACCAGAGGGTCACCTGAAGCTACAGTAAAAATTTCAAGGTTAGTCAGAAGCCGAGTTTCAGCGGCTGAATATTAAAGGTACACCTTAATGAGGTTCACCTTTGTCCTAGTTACAAAGCAAACAAGCAGGGGAAAGGGACGCTTAACCCTTCAATTCGGCCTAAGTTTCAGTCTTTTCAAGCAGCTCAATGGCATGCATGGCGCCAAAATTATGCCACCTCCTAACAGTGAAAAGTGTGGGTTTTGGGGGGCTATATCTTGGAAACCACAAAAGACTTTGGCATGCACCACCTCAGGTGGACTCGTCCCAGGCCCCAGATCAACATACTGAAAGATGGGGTCACTGGCACAAGCAGAAATTTTTTTCTACTTTGGACCAACTGAATCATCAGGTCTTTTTTGGAGCTATGTGTCCAAGAACCTATTTTGTGGCTGAAATCAGACATAGGATTTTTTTCTGGGGGGTTTCTGGGAATTTGACACTGAATTCTGATTGTGCTGCCCCATGAGGAAATACCTTCTGAAAATGGGGCCAATTGGCCGTTCCGTTGAGGAGTAATCACAATTAAAGAGAATGACCCCAGTCACCTGCCGGTCGAGTGCCCACAAGGCCAAAAGAGCACTTAAACGATGAGCTACGGCTAAAAAATTGCCAGGGCTTGCTCGGGGTGGTGCCTGCATGCGGAATCGGTGTTTGTTTGGTGAAAATCAGCTGAAAAAATGCCACATTTGAGACCACATGGCAAGAAAGGCGGGAAAACTGCCCACACGGCCCAAACGGACCCTCAAAGGGTTCCGACCAGCATGACTTTGACGTGTATGGTTTGGGCCAGAACCGGGATGCACCAAAAAAAGTTGTGTGCGCCTCGGACAAACGTAAGCCGAACAGCAGCCAAAAAGGGGGTCAAATCTAGTTCAGGCTCCATTTCGGGCCTTTAGCTCTTGCATGTAGGGATTTTTTGACCCACCTTCCATCGTCCAATTAAGACGAAATGTGGTGAGCACTTACAACTTATCATTACAGTCTTGTTGTCAGTGTGAAATTGCTGGTGGCCACCACATCAATACATTTATCTTTGGCTTCAATTTTTTTCATTTTAGTCTACATGTGGTTTTATAGTGTTGCTACATGTGAAGGAAGTCTATTAATTAATATTTTCATCAAGGAGTTTGCATATATTATTACTTAAAAAGTATAGGTTGTGTTTCATGTGTATATTTTAATAGTCTTCACAATATTTAATAATTTTTTTAACTACATCATTCTCACTAGTGTTGCAGGGCAAGAGAAACACTGGACAAGCCTCAGTCCATCACAGAGACACACCCTGGGACAAACAACCAGTCGCATAATCACTCATAACTAGGGACAATTTAGATTCACCAGTTACCTTGATTGATGTGCATGTTTTTGGTCTGTGGAAAGAAACCAGCGCTTACATAGGGAGAACATGCTACCTCCACACAAAAAGGCCACGCAAGCTGGATTGAAACAGGTGGCTTATTTGCTATGAGGCAACATTGCTACTAATTTCACCACCATCAAGCCCCACAATAGTTCATTATGATGAAAGTCCAAGTCTGAAGTTAAAGAACTTATATCAAATAAAAATTTAGAAATAGAATTTACCGACAGGTAATTGAATATTAAACTCAAAGTTAGTCCTGTATCCTGTTCTCCCATTTGCTAAGTTTTATGTGAGCTTAAAAATAAAAGCATGTAAAAGAAGGTGTTTTTAAAAATTTTGGTTTCAGATAAAAAAAAAACAACCAAACATTTAATTTTTTTAGTCTTTATTTCTAGTTGAAAATGTAAAGGGGAATGTTTTTTTCTACAGGGTCAAGTCATGAACATTGAGGCAGGGTGAGGGAGACGTGGCCCTTTTCAACCAAACTGTTCTGTACAGGTTGTTTCTCTTGAGTTCAGAGGCACTCATCAACAAGAAGTCAGGGTGGGGGATGGGTGGCATTAAACAGTGGACTGGCTAACTCAGGGTGGGGGATGGGTGGCATTAAACAGTGGACTGGCTAACTCTTAAACCTCTGCTGCATTCAAGGAAAATGTGTAACTACCAGTACACTAGTTACACTCAACATCAAATCTGAACCCTGTCTTTTTAAATATAAATTTCACACTGTGTTAAAAAGTGCATAACAATTTCCTTAAAAGTCATTACATGAGCAATTTTTCAAAAGAAATATTTTTAATCTATTAAAACGTGGAGATCTGCACGCAGTTCTCAACTTTCCCAGTGCTCCTGAAAGCAACATCAGTGAGGGGATTCACGCAGCTGCAGAGCATCGGAGAAGCAGATGGAAACTGTTTCAGTGTTTGGAACCAGAAAAAAGTCTGCAACTAAACCAGGTAAGATTTATTTTTATTCATAGTTAACTGTGTGAGGTGTTTGTGTGTATGTATTTTGTTTATTTTGTCAAAAAAGATTGACAACTGGTGTAGTTTCGTGTAGCCTGTGTTGTAAGCTTGACAAAGTAAAATCAGGGGATCATTTTTATCTTTTATTTGTTTTCAGAACAGTTGAATTATCTTACTTTATTCCTTAAACCACTGCAGGGATCCTTTTTATTGCTTTGAATGTACTTGCTTTGCTGCAAACTTCAACCCACTGTTTTAGCTTGCTAACCGGGATTTAGCATGACATATTGACAAAAGGACTTGTAGCCCAAACTATTGCCTTTGACTTTCTAGTCAATTCAAACTGTAAAGAAGACATTTGCTTCCAATCTATGAGTTTGCTTCTCTGAACATACCAGTACTGGTCCAGAACTACAATGATTACCGGAAGTGCGTTCATCCTGGAACTATGCCAGCAAAAAAGCACTGAGGTGCATTAGCAGTTTAATTAGTTTTAATTATTTTAAGTCACACAGAGAATAAGAAAATAAACTGCTGCATCAACCTGTAATGTGTAATTACTAATACTAAACTGCATTGTAGACCTGTGTGCAGTAAATGGTCAATGTACAGTAACTGAGTAAGCCAACAGCCTGTGGGTGGACATTGAGTAGTTTACCACTGTGAGATTATCTTTTTGTGATTTTTATTTGACAAACAAACGCTGTAAGTATTGCTGATAGGTTAGTGAATTAAGTTAATTAATTTTTACAGTCAAAATACCTAATGTATTTGAAACTTTTACACTAAGGACCCACAATTTTAACCACAACACATGAATATTTTTTAAATAAAATTATTTTATTGAACATGGTACTTTTTTATGGAAAATTTAGCTGCACAGACTAACACTGTAACCTGCAGCTCAGTCTCGTCTCCTGTGCTCCTTGTACAGAGTGAAATTGTCTGACTCCCATACAGGAGAACAATTTAATCTGTTAAGCAAACAATCAGCTGATAGTTTAAGACGGTCTATAAAGTTGAGTACAAGCTAGTGAACATTAAACCACAACAGCATTCTGCCGGTTACCGGCAGTACTCATAGCTCATTTTTGTCTTCCACTCAGCCAAGTTTTATTTCATATTTTACTTTTAATACACACTAAATATACAGCTGTAGAAGAGAAGCTAGGGTTTTTCCTGCGTTCAAATTTATGTGGCCGCCACGTGAGAGACCAACTCTTATCTGCCCCTGGGAGCCCCGTAATGCATACAGTCATTTCAATATGGGGGTGTCCGCGACAATTTTTTATATGCAGGTAGCGGCACTGTGGCTGCTTTATATAGTGAATCGTTGCATTCTCCCTCAACCCAAATCCTCGGATCACGCATTTTAGCTAAAATGCTAATGTTAACTTGCCTTGCGTTGACTGTAGAGTTGTGGGTGATGGTCACGCAGATGTGTCATGAAATTTGAAGCGTTGCTGCCTTTCACAGACACTTTTTCTGCACGTGCTGCAAACAGGATAGCCGTCTTCTATCAACTGTCCCTCGGCATTCTTCATATATCCAAAAAAATGCCCATACTTCCAACTTTGTCTTCTCTGAGAGATAATAAATGTCCTGAGCGCTGCCGTCTCCTCCTCTGGCCATTATTTCGGCTTTAGCCTCAAGAAAGTTTTGGTTGTAAACAACAAAGTGCGCATGTGCTGCAGGCAACTGCAGCAGATGATACGGTGGTCGGTAAGGGTCACCGCGCCTACATTGCATCCACGGTAATCCACCGAGATAATATATATTTTTAAAACAAGACGATTATTATTATTGTCCACTTTTTTACCGGGGTTTACCACTACACTGGTTACCGTGACAACCCTAATGCCACCATTACATTGTTAGCAGCAGAAATTAAATGTTCTTACCATTTCCAATACAAATGCATGTTAATGAAATCCATTATATTTTACTGGATATATTTATGTGTTATTTTGACTAAGGTGAGGGTTATTAATGAAAACCTAAAATGTTACTGAAATGTAGGTCGATTTTTAAAAATATTTTAAACTTTAAATATCAGATGGGAAAAAGGAACTAAATCACAATCTAATGCATATTATTGAACCTTTTATAATAAGTCTGTTGTTTCAGCCTGATAATTTTGTTGTTTTATTTCAAATGTTTTAGCAGCAAACCAGTTTTGTTTCACTTGAAACGTTGTCAAATGGGATATTCAATTAATCAACAGAAACTTAGATGAGAACACTTAATGAAAAAATATTTTTGCCTTTAAAAAAGTGAGGCAGTTGAATGCACACAATATGCATGTGCTGGTGCATGGTCAAGATGGTACCACCTCTGCCTCAGTTTGAGCCAGGAAGAACCCTGGAAGCATTACCTAAAACAAGGAAAATACTTCCAATCATAGCCATGAATACGTAGATGCCCCATTGGCCACTGGAGAACGTAACAGCTTTGTCGCTGTATTGGATGGGTCTCCTCACTGTCCACAGTCAATGCAGAGTGAGCAACTATGCCCGTTTTTGTTCAGCTTACGGTTAACACAACGGGCGTACAATTGAAAACAGATCACTTGGGATTACTATTGACTTTTCTAGCCTTCCTGATTGTACTTTATATTTTAATTTATTTTGTTTCATTATATTCATATATTAATTATGCTATATCATGTGTCTGATTTTGCAAAAAAGCTTGATAAAATGTGCTGTTTAGTTGGGTAAGCACCTTAGAAATGAATGCACTGGGGGCAAATTCCTTCACATTTACATGTTCTTTTTTGTAGATAATGAGCAGAAGGAAGAAGAACAGGAAGAGATAATGGTAAGTATTTCTTAATTATCCTATAGGACTTAAATATGGCTTAAAAATAAAATCTCAGATTTTTTCTTCCAAATTCTAATTGAATTTTATTATTTTTCTCCCTTCTTTTTCTTGAAAAGAAAATACAAATAACAGACAATTTTTTTTATTTTGTCAAAAAATTGTTTTAGAAACATCTTTAGGATTTTGGTCACCATGAAGGCAGAAGGCAGCTGGTAATCAAACAAAATATTCACTGATTTAGTGTTGTATTAAATTTGTTTAGACATTTCTACTTATAACTTCAAGATCATATATAACAAATTTATATTTTTAACCAAACATAATCAGTACTGACACTAAACAGCTTTGTTTGAATTAAAAACGTCTGTGATTGCCAGTAAACTGAACCTGGGTCAGGCTAATGCTTGGAATGGACGTACTACCAACATATATGAAAAATTTAATTTACAACTATTTACTGGTTAGAATATTCTTTAGCTGTCTGTTATTTCAGGTTTTGGTTTGGAACTAAATTATTTGCCAGTGTGTTATAGCAACCCAACTTTAACTAGCTTGATTAATGCTTTTTAACCGTAATAAACCAGAGGCCCCTCCTGTACTGGAAAGAAAAGTTCCTTTAGTAAGGTTGCTGAGAAAGCTAACAGCTGGCATTGGTGAGGAGTAAGCACCACCTCACCCCTGCCACGTGGACCTCAAGAGATAAACCATCAATCCTGCTCAATGGTCAACTTTCCTTGCGGGGGTCACCCATTAGGACAGTGGGAGGGTTAAACTGAGAACAAATCAAGATAGGAAACAATCTGCCTGATTTTTCACCATTAAAATGCCACTGTATTCATGAGGGCATAATGCAGCTCACTGATGGCAGCATTGGCCCAGTCTGTCAGCTAACTCATGTTGGAAGGTCCCAGTGGCAAGAAATCACAAAGTTGTCAATAACGGAGTATGGACTGGAATTAGATTAGTGTGGTTTGTCAGTGGCTCCACAAAGGGTCTCAAATCATGTCACAGCTCCAGAAGGATCTCTGTCAGGAGGCAGCATCTACTCAAAAGCACCTCTAGATTCTCACTACAGGGAAAATGTCCACTAGAGAACACGGTCTGCTAAATCTTCCAACAACAACAGATCTACCATGCTACAATGTCAGCTTCCCGTCGGTCACAGATGCCTTTTTATCGGTTCCAATATCAATTACACGACAAAACTGTTTCTCCACAGACATAATTACTGATTGGGTAAAAATAATTTGTGGATGAGGAAGAATCGTGGATGACTGAGACCTTCAATACTACGGTTACACCATTTTACTATTAGATGCTGTTCGTACGCATGGTCAGACATGTTATGTTTAAGAACATTTCTACACACAAGTTCCATCATGCTAAATACCACACTATGACCTGTTCATTACTAAAACAATCTACTGTGCTGCTAAGTCTTTGTGTCTCACATTAACTAATACCACCATTAAAACAGCGATTTAAAATGGCATTAGGTGAAAGTAGCTGTGTAGATGGTTGTGTTGGTTCTCTGATGACCTGTCCAGATGTACTCCATCTCACCAAATGGATAAAGCAGGTATAAAGTGCGCATGCATGAATAGAAAGATGAATAGATGTAGTTCTCCCTCATTACTGCACTAATGTCGGACTAGAAGACTCAAGAAGTCCTGTAACAAAAGTGTGAGCTCAGCAGAGCAACTCTGTTGACTGCAGGATGTTCTTCATGTTACTGTCACATGATAAAGTGCAGGGGTCACATGGCAGCAGCTTTACAGACTGTTGTCCCAAAATTAAGCCAAAATTTCTTTCTGGCCACTGCCAAGTTGTATTTTGGAGCCAAAGTCTGAACTCTCAGCACATGGGGCTGAAAGTCTAAAGAAAAGCGTCCAATGGCCTATTAGAGTGGGGCTGGATGATATAGCAAAAAAGTATGTCGATAAATGTTGTTTTAAATTGATCATAATCGATAATTATTGAAAAATATATATATATTTTTTTAAAATGTAGAAAATATTTTACATGCACCCCTGGCCATTTTATTTTTGGTATTTTGATTTTTTTTCTCCGCCTCTTCTTGCTGCAACGTCTTTAGGGCTTCCACAAATGGCTATTTTAGTAGTCGACTAATCGTGTCATTTATAAAAGTTTAGCTTATTGCACCAGGATGCACTAATATACCATCATTAGCTTCTAGTCTGAAGTGTGATCTGCTATGGGCCATCTAATAATAAAGACAAGATGATAGCTTAGCAAACAACTTTAACTTGTAACCTGTTGATACAAATGCTACAACTACATGGAGGTAGGCACCTAAAACCAAAAATGACTTGTGTTCACAAGAGGCATGGTGGCAAGGTTGAAGTGCTTCATCTTCCAATCTTCACTCAGGAAATAGCAGGACACACCAAGGTACGCCTTTGTAGCACGGCTAGTCCACACATTAGCAGTCAGGGATCATCGGCAGCTCTGAGGGTCTGCTTTAGTGTAAAGATAAAAGATATTAAAGTTAGTTTATTTACCAGATTAATAATTCTGTTAAATCAAATAAAGTAGGTTAAGTTTTAACACAAAGAAAATGTTTTATGCTTTAAAACTATTAGGTTTCTTGATTGTTCAGTCAGCGGCCTTTTTATTTTTTCATAAATGCATTTTATTCTAATGTTTATTTTATTTGTATCTAGAGAGAAACTGACACACACACACATCTTAAAAGTTGTGTAACTCTTCTTTTCCATCATGGTGGTGAAGTGGGACCAGCCTGGTAGATGGTTGTTGTCATATATATGTCTGTAAACTCCACTCTAACGTAGCGGGATGGAATCAATCATTAGCGTTTGTAACTGGAGCAAAAATATGTGACATACAAACGTGTTCTAAAGGTAACAACGTCACCATCTCTACTGGTGTTGCTGCAGCTATAATCACAAGTAGCTCTTCTCAGCTCTACTGACTCTCAAAAAACTATTTTCGACATTCAAAACTCTGCTCAACCCTCCTTCTCCACCTCCTACCAACAATCTATCAGCAGTCACCTTTGCCTCATTCTTCACTGACTGGCAGCTATAAGCTATCAGTTTACTCAACTGGCCACTCCTGAACATTCGCTTCCACAATCTCCTTCTAGCCCAACCATCTCAGGCCCTGCTGCTTCATTTTCCTCTTTTTCCCCTCTCACTGAGAACTGTGTGTCCAAGCTTGTCACGTGCAGCCGCCCTACTACATGTCCAGGACCCCATTCCGACTAAGCTGCTCCAAGCTATTGCTCCTACAGTAGCTGCAGCAGGCACTTATGTGATCAACGCTTCACTGACATCCGGATTTCCTATCTCTGTCAAGCATGCTCTGGTTAAACCTCTGCTAAAAAAAACCCATCTCTTTCTCCAAATCATGTGGAGAACTACCGACCTATCTCTCTCCTCCTTTTTCTGTCCAAAATCACAGAAAAGGTGGCTTTCATGCAGATCACAGAATACCTCTCACAAAACTGTCTGCTTGACCCTTACCAATCTGGGTTCAAAAAGGGCCACTCCACTGAAACTGCTCTTTTAGCAGTGATGGAATCCTTAAAAGAAGCTAGAGCAACTGCCAAATCCTCAGTGCTTATCCTGCTCGACTTATCGGCTGCATTTGACACTGTCAAACATGGCTTCCTTTTGTCCACACTCTCTAGCATGGGCATCACAGAGAAAGCACATGCCTGGTTTGAATCGTACCTCACAGGACGATCATTTAGTGTACAGTGATCCCTCATTTATCGCGGTAGATGCGTTCCAGACCTGGCCGCGATAGGTGAAAATCCGCGAAGTAGGGACACCATATTTACAGTATTTATTTAACAGGAGAGGGAGCGCAGCTGATCCTCATCAGCCTGATCAGCGGGACGGCTTTAAAAGGAGGACGGTTATCCAGATACCACGCGTATGATTAACTACTGCCTGACTCGCTTCTCCTCCGGATTCTCTCCCATCTTGGAGACTTCTGGATACTCACCGGTTCGCTGCCTGGATACCAACTCCGCTCTGCCGTCCCGCTCTCCACCGTGCTCACGCTCCCTCTCCGTTACCTCGTCCTCCTCATCCGTCTACTCTGCCACCTGGAAATCTACAATTCGCCTCTGGATATCACCCCGGCTCAACTCCACATTCACCCTGAACTTCCGCATTTTGCCGCTTCCTGGTTTACCCTCCACTGGATCACCAGTGCGCCCTCAGTTCTCATCATTAAAGAAATAAAATTATTGTTTATCTTTTACCTCGACTCGATTCTGATTCTGTATGTCTTTGGTTAGACACTTACCCCAAAACATGACAGAAAAATACGGCGAATCGGTGAAAAATTCCGCGAATCGGCGAATTTCCCTTGAATAAGGCTCCAAAGAAAAAATCTGCAAAGTCGTGAATCCGCGATAAACGAACCGCGAAGTAGCGAGGGATCACTGTATCTTGGCTTGGACAATCCTCTACCATGCACCATCTTGCCACAGGAGTCCCCCAGGGCTCTGTTCTAGGACCTCTTCTCTTTGCCATATACACCACCTCACTGGGTGAGATCATTCGATCACATGGCTTCTCCTACCACTGCTATGCAGACGACACCCAGCTCTATCTGTCATTTCCACCGGACGACCACACTGTCTCTGCACGAATATCAAACTGTCTCTCTGACATATCAAAATGGATGAAATCCCACCATCTCCAACTCAACCTCTCTAAAACTGAACTACTTGTCATCCCAGCAAACCCATCCATACAGCACAATATCTCAATCCAAAATGACTTCCTATCTCTGGCTCCTTCAAAGGCAGTTCGAAATCTGGATGAACACCTGACCTTTAAAGATCGTGTTGCCTCTGTTGCTCGTTCATGCCGCTTTGCGCTGTATAACATACGAGAGATCAGACCATACCTAACACAACATGCCACTCAGGTCCTGGTGCAATCTACTGTCATTTCCCGCCTCGATTACTGCAATGCCCTTCTAACTGGTCTTCCAGGCTGTACTGTGAGACCTCTTCAAATGGTCCAGAATGAAGCGGTGTGTCTGGTCTTCAAGTAGCCAAAAAGAGCACAAGTCACCCCTCTGTTCATTGAGCTCCACTGGCTACCGCTAGCAGCACACATCAAATTCAAACTGCTAACACTAGCATACAAAGTCCGAGATGGTACGGCTCCCATCTACCTGAATCCTCTTGCAAAGGCTTACGTCTCGGCCTGGCCGCTCCGGTCATCACAGGATCGTCGACTAGCAGTGCCTACACCACGCTCAGGACAATCCAGACTCTTCTCATGCATCGTTCCACAAATGTGGAATGACCTACTAAGCACTACCAGAACAGGGGCTTCCATTTCAATTGTCAAGAAACTCCTGAAGACCCTGCTCTTCAGAGAGCATCTTCTAAACTTGCACCTTCCCTGCACCCGTCCCCCTCTCTACTGTCCACTCCTTGTTCCCTCCTCCCCATGACTGATGTCAAGTTGTTGTTGTTGTTGTTGTTCAAGGGCAACATGCCGATTATCACTTGTAAGTCGCTTTGGACAAAAGCGTCTGCTAATACATAAACATAAACAAACTCTGTTGATGTCAGCTGCTAACAAGAGGTAAACTTACCGAGGCGACTCTGTTCTTCCTCTTAAGATGCTCGTGCATCGCCAATGTGCTCCTGTGAAAGAGTTTTGCTTTGCAGAGTTTGCACCATGTGGCTTTCTTTTGAATTAGTATAATGCTCCCAAACTTTTCAGATATGTTGCGACTCGACACTTTCTCCGATGATGAAGGCTGAGCTGGATGGCCACCATTGCGCATGCACCTTGGAGCCAAAGTGGTGGCTGAGCAGAGAGGCAGGAAGCAAAAGCCCAACGTGCCGCAGCAGGCGACATTTAAAAAAATTGTTTATAAAATAAGGTTTATTTTATTTGTCTGCGTTGTCGTGACGATTCGACTAATCATGGCAGCCCTAGACATCTTGCTTCCTTTCGCTCTCTTTTGGTTTGAGAGGGGAGGGCCTGGTGACGTAGCGTGCCGAGTCTGTGGTTTTGATTGGTTAGGAGTGAAGGTTGGTTAATGTTTGACGCGTCCGCGAGGTCCGCACGGCTCCACGCGGAAAAGTTCCGTCATTTTAACAACCACGCCCCTCCACCGCGCCTCCGCACGGCCCAAACTTTCCGCAACGCACACCTAGGAAATTTTCTAACCACGCGGACGGTCGGACGCAGAAAAACATGGCGGACTGGCAAGAACTAGTATGGCAGAGGTTCGTAAATAGACATTTGTATGATTCAGCTCTCAGAGATCACCGTGATCAACATGTTGTTAATAATTTTTGGAGAGAAATAGCTCGCACTGTCAGAAAAGATGAGGATGCTGTTAAAAAATGCTGGAATGCCATGTTGTAAACAACAGTAATTTTTACTTCTTCTATGGTGTAGTGTTGGATGCATGCCGTAGAGCTCCATGCTGCCCCATTCAGTTTGGGAGAATATTGGCTCACCGCAGAGACAAGCCGCATGAACCATAAACACTGCAATTTGTGAAGCGCGTTTCATCCGCGAGCCGCATCACCAAGCGGAAAGTAAATGCGTCAAGCATAAACCAAGCTTAAGTAGTGAGTCTAGTATGCTGCTACCTGATAGGTTATAATGAAAAAAGGAAACTTTTTAATTGAAGTTTTATTGACCAGTTTTTTTATCTATCGCACCACATGTCTATCGATAGATATATTGAACTATTGAATTATCGTCCAGCCCTATATTAGAGCTAAACGTATTTTGGAGAAAATTTTTTGAAAATACAGCAGCAAGGTAAGAAGTGCAAGAATGAACCAAAGTCAGCAGCTGGAAATATTTTTCTGAAGTGTAATTAAAGTTTAAGTTAAGAATTGTGGTTTAGAAATTCCTGTCCTAAACTTGAGTCTTTGCTCTATTTCTTTCAGGAGCTTTCTGCTTCAGAGGACTTTCTCTCAGACTCCAGCCATGATTTGGACAGTGATTATATTCCATCAGCTCCTCCTTCCTCAGAGGATGAACTAACCTTTTCACAGCCTAAGCTCATGAAGACACATGTTGCATTAAAAAACCCTGGCAAAACCTCTCTCAGCCAAAGCTATGTTCATGAACAGAAGACACTGATGGACAGTGGTAAAAGTAATGAAGCTCTGGACATGCATTACAATGCAGATACTGAGGAAGAAAATCCGGAGGAATATGAAGATGATGAGGGTAGGTCATGTGTTACTGTTAAAACTTGCACTAAAGGCTAAATGATGACCATGTGTTCAGTCACATTTCAAATGAATAGTCAATAGTTTGAGATACTAATTCAAATTGTGTATATGTGAAAGAAATAGAGTGCCACAGAGAAAAAAAATATTAGTATTTTTCTTTAAAACTCCTTATGTTCTTTCTGTGTTTCTTTTCTAGTTCAATTTTTCTGATCTTGTCTCATACAGAGTAGCAAAGTTTATGTTTTACCTTATGTTGCTGACAGTTTTGGGTACTTCCTGTCACCTTCGGGAAGTAGCTGAAACTGTCAGCAAAATAAGCTAAAAACAGAAACTTTGCTACTCTGTATGAGATAAGAACAGAAAAGTGGAACTAAATGATTTGTAGAATTGAAAAAATGTTTTGCTTAGTGATCAACTGTAACAGTTCTCATTGATTTTCAGTTATCCATTGACTATTACCCCTTCTTTCCACCGGAGCCGTCAGCAGCACGTTACTGCAGCAGCACGTCTTAGCTGCTGAAAGGAACCGCTGTGGTCAACAGAATCTTTTCCACCGGAGCCGTCAGCAGCATGTTGCCGTCCTTATGCGCCGGTTCTATTTTCTACGCGCAACGCCTCTGAAACGGGTCAAGTTCGACATTTTTGGGGAAGGAAAGACAGGAAATCGGACGCGGAAACGGAGCGAAGCTCCCGAGATTTTCAGAATTAAGAAATGTACTGCCTTCCGGTTGCTTTACTTTAAAAAAAGTTACTAACTGTGCGGCCCCGTGAGAAGTTATCACCTAGCTAGCGGTCTCCTTTGTTTTTCAGGTCCGTATTGGCAATTATAAAACGGACAGAACATAAAACACAAACCTTTTGGAGCCATGTTGTAGTTTTCTCCTGCTTGTTGTGTTTACTGACGAAGTCACTTGTGTGACTTCGTGCTCTGTCGGTGACAGCTGCTCCCCTGCTGCTTCGCGTCTCGTGGGAAGGGCCAAGCAGCAGCTTACGCGAGCAAGACGTGCTGCTGCAGTAACGTGCTGCTGACGGCTCCGGTGGAAAGAAGGGGTCAGTTCGTTATTTTAGTTTTATGGCATTAAAAAATTATTGTAGGATTTAGTGAGGTAAAAAAGTTTTTTTCTTACTTATTTGATAACATTTGAGTATTTTATTTGGTATCTGTCAGACAGGATTGATGTTCATGAATGTTTTGTCTTGTAGAACCTGACATTCTGACTCAGAGGCCCACAAGAGCAGAACCATCAGATGATCACAGACAGACAGCAGGAAAAAGAGGTAATTTTTTGCTTGGCTAAAGTACCTAATGATCATAAGGTGACACTTGATTTTACAACTGTTTTTCTTCTCTTTGAAGTGACGTACAGAGGAAAAGGGCCAAGGAAGAAGGTTGAACCAGCTGAAGATTCAGATGGTGAGACATCACAAGGTTCACTGCAGATGGATTTTACATAGATCGTTCCTGATCCTTTCCATCCTCATCACTCCCAAAGATAACCTCAACATTTTGAGCTCTGCAACCTCTTCTACCTCCCGTCTTTTCTTCGTTTATGCCGTTTCTTAACCAGACAACATGACTGCTCTCACTACTGTCTTTACAGCTTTTCTTTCCTTCTTGCTGAAACCCGTAGACTCACTGCAGTGTGATTTGGTACATAAATGTAGTTGATTCACTTTGGTTACTAATATATTCTGAATGTTCTTTATTTTTCAGATCAGGGAGAACCACTGAGCCAGTGCTCAAAATATGCAGAACCATCAGAGGACATCAAGAAGAAATATAAGATAGGTACATTTTTTCTTCATTTGTCTTTGTGCTGTTGGGTGTTGGGTTTAAATTTCTGTGTATTTTATCATATACTCATTTCATTTTTGCTAGTTTAAAGATTTGCATATACACACCATGCTGAACTCTCAAGCCTACTGCACACTGGCAGCAAAAGCGCCGTGGAACGCCAACGCCGTGGAACGGCAGCGGCGTGGCACCGCTTGCAATAGAGTCCATAATAGTATATGGAGTGTCACAAACAAGCTGCGTCACGGCAATTTTCAGACGCGGCCCAGGAGCGGCATGCCGAGGCGCTAAAGATAAGATCGTGTTCTAATTTTTCTGTGAGCCACTCCTGGGATGCACCAATTTCCGCAGTTACCGTTGGGCTAGACGGGAAATCACACACAGTTTCAGTGTAAAATCCATGGTAAAAGTATTGCAGCGATGCAATGTCACATAAATGAAGCCTACGTGTGATTGGCTTATTTACTCCTAGTATCATATTCCATCATATATGACATCAAACAGTGATAACAACGTGATTTCCTTCTTTTTGGTTTAATGGCGGACGGCATAAATAAACTGTAGCCTGTGAAGTCTCTAGGGATCATGTGATCTCGCAAGTCGAATGAGGAGCACATCGAAGCAGCTGCTTCGTGGCTGATCCTCTCCTGGTGTGCGCTGGTGTGCAGCAATTTTCTTGAGTAAACCTCTCCACTGCCATTCTGCGGTGCTTTTGCTTCCATTGTGCAGTAGTCACTCTCAAACAGCGCACCGCTCCGAGCTTAATAGAACTTAAGGACAGCAGCTCTGGCTGTAGCTCAGTACTGTCTAATGACGAGAAGCACATATGATACTACACTGCATCCTGATGGCATGACGGGATGTCAGATATTGGTCTAACATTAATGTTGGCCGATATCGCCATTAAAATTTAATATCGGAAAATATGTATCGTTTTCAGTCGTTTAATGACCCAACTTTTACCACTAAAACCACTAAAACAACAAAAAGAATATTCACCCAAGGCTTACTTTTCTCATCTAAAGATCTTTATAAATGTTTTATCATCTTAGTTGCAATTTACAGATTAAGAAAAAATCCATTACCAACTAATACACCATCTTAGTGTCACACTTGGGGAGAAAGAGATTCAGCTGCTGTTGGAGACAATATCAATATGGCACTTTTCCTGTTACTTATTGAAGTAGTTGTCATTTTGCACAGAAAATGTTTAAAATATAAGCATGCATGATAAATGATCAGAGATGTTGAAAACCTAAAATGTTTTAGTTTTCCTTTTTTTGTGAGAGCATATATCGAGCATTTTTATAGGAAATTACGAGTCGACAATGTTGGTAGATCAGATATCGGTAAAAAAGACAATATAGAGCATCCCTAGAATTTAGTGAAAACAATTACGTCTAGTGGTCCACAATATGCAGCTCACAGGCCAGAAAGATGTAGCTCACTAACCAGATCCATCCAGGGGAAAGTACAGCCTTTGCTGGGTGGTGTAATTTTCAGGTGAGGTCCTCAGAGAGATTAATGCCCAGGAATTTGAAGGACTGCACTAGCTCCACTTTGTGTACTCATCTTCCTCAGAGATGAGTCCAATGATGGTTGTGTCTTATTCATATTTGATGATGGTTTGATGGGTAATTTGGTGTACAGAGAGAAGAGGGAGGGGCTCAACACACTGCTCTTTGGGGAGCCAGTAATGAAGGGGTATATAGGTATACAGGCCAGTTTTGACTCTGTGTGAGTTCAGTGATGTAGTCTTTCATCCAGAAACAGGTGCAGAGTCATAGTGTGCCTATAATTGTAAAATTTGGTATTCTCTTCTAGAAGAGGACTTTTGTAACCGTTATTTTGTAGATAGGTTGCCGGCTCTCGGTAGTACATCGTAGACAGGCTACAGTTGGGTTTTATAATTCTTCTTTATTTCCGAACGGCAGGACAGAAAACTCAAACGCGCAGTTAGCCGCTGCTACTCCACTTCCTCCTTTTTTCTCTCCTACGCTTTTCTGTTAACACAGCATGTCTTCTTTCCCCTAATCCACCAGTAGGTGTTGTAAACAGATCAGCCTCTTTTACCGAGAACTCAAATCTACATAATCACAAGCATTACTGTACTGACCAAAATAATGAAATAACAAACACATGAATTATATAAACATTAAATAAAGGTTACACTTTAATCAAATTTTTTCTCAAAGGTCTATTGTTTGCCATCATCTACATTTGTTTCTCATGTGAGTCAAAGCTAGATGAAGTCGAACCTTAAACTTACAGTTGTTTTTCTTCTCATTGAAGGTACCTACAAAGTAAAAAGGTCAAGAAAGATTGTTGAATCACCTGAAGATTCACATGATGAGACAGCACAAGGTTTACTGAAGTCTGATGTTACATAAATCTTGTTGCTATCATATTGGTTACCAATATGTTCTGCATGTTTTTTTTTCAGATCAGGCAGAACTGTTGAGCCAAAGCTCCAAATCTGCAGAACCAACAGAGGGCTTCAAGAAGAAAAAGAAGACAGGTACATTTCTACATTTGTGTCTTTGGGCTCATGTTGTGTTAAAAGTTGTGGCTCCTACTGACAAGCAAATTAGACACTGCCGGTTCACTTTGACCACCACCAGCAAGCAATGTGGGTGAAGTGTGTTGCCCAAAAGCAGGACTGTGACAGCCAGAACGCTGTGTGAACCTGCATCCCTCTGGTTAATGGCAGGGACTTAACTCCTCTCATACTCCTGCAGGTCTTTAGCATCTCATCCTTGTTGTCTGCCTCCCTTTCTCTTGAATGTAGTAGCAGTAACATATTGAGGAGCATCAATACACCTTACACAGAAACTGCAATGATTTTACAAAAAAACTAACTCCTCTGAGGAAGTTGGTAGTCAGTAATTTTGGGTCACTCACACTTCCTATTAGAAAAATGCTTCTAAAGGAGGTGTCACCTGGAGGAACAAGAGAGTGACTGAGGTAGTGATTGACAGCACCCCACTCAGCCTCCCCATGTGTGCTCTCCGAGTTCCTCAGTCGAAAAAACGAGTCGTTAACAACTGCGCGCACACTCATGCGTGCAAACGAGCACACACACACATAAGTCTCACAACTCAGGAGAAGAGAAAACACAGAAACAAACTCAGGCTGGAAGACTATCTGTCCACCTTGATCTCTAAAAGAAAGAAGGAGGAGGAGTTGGATTTTTTAAGGAGGCGAGTGACTCCGAGCCATAACGTGTCATATCAGCAGGTGAGTGGTTGAGCCGGGTGGAGTTGCGGCCGAGACTCAGCTAGAGTCCAGTGCAGTACAGCCACGTAGTTCGGTACAGACAACGTCACCCTGCAGCTCTATAGCCATCAGCTGTGGCTGATTCTAAATCCATGCGGAGCAGAGAATTAACCTGAAGATAGAGATAGAATTATGGCTTTAGGCAGAATTATTACATTTTAAATAAGTTGCACTAAACTGCCACAATAATG